GATTCGAACCCCCGACCCTCAGATTGCGAGTCGAGTGCCTTAACCACCTGGCCATACCAGGAAGTTGTAGCACTGGTATTTGCAGTCGTAGTAGATTTTTGAGTTATTTTAATGGTAGTCTTTCCATTTTTAAACGAAAAGTGACCTTTTGGTTTCCCACTTGTTATAAGAGTAACGGACAAATCCCACTATTCGATTAGAGTAGCTCACGAGTTGATGGTGGGGGGTGTTGACTAGATACCTTCCCTCTAGTGTATTATTTCAAAATTAGGGACGAGTAGCGAGATGGCCCTCGAGTAGCTCTGTGCGAAAACCAACAACCATTTTTAGTAACTTTCACAAACTTAAAAATAGTTATGAGAATATCTAATTTTGCACGCTTCCTGAAAACAACAACAAAAAACGTAATTTGCTCCTCGCTTATGTAGCAAATTGATCGTAATTTACAACTTTTTTTTAAAGACATTTGCAATTTTTTTCCTAATCGCTTCCTGTAAAACAAAAACATTTCTACAGTATAGATTACTCGCAGCAGAATACTCTGCGCTTCCTATAAAACAAAAACATTTCTACGGTATAGATTACTCGCAGCAGAATACTCTGCGCTTCCTGTAAAACAAAAACATTTCTACAGTATAGATTACTCGCAGCAGAATACTCTGCGCTTCCTGTAAAACAAAAACATTTCTACAGTATAAATTACTCGCAGCAGAATATTCTGCGCTTCCTGTAAAACAAAAACATTTCTACAGTATAGATTACTCGCAGCAGAATACTCTGCGCTTCCTGTAAAACAAAAACATTTCTACAGTATAGATTACTCGCAGCAGAATACTCTGTGCTTCCTGTAAAACAAAAACATTTCTACAGTATAGATTACTCGCAGCAGAATACTCTGCGCTTCCTGTAAAACAAAAACATTTCTACAGTATAGATTACTCGCAGCAGAATACTCTGCGCTTCCTGTAAAATAAAAACATTTCTACAGTATAGATTACTCGCAGCAGAATACTCAGTTGGTCCGTTTGTTTTTTGTAGAACAAAGATACGTTGGGCTATCCACTGTGTCCACCGCGGGGAATCGAACCCCGGATTTTATCGTAGTAAGTCCGTAGACTTACCGCTCTTTTCAATTGGGAAAATATAATAATGAGGACGTTATGTGTAAGCAATCTTATCAATCAGTTTTTTGCAGACACTATTTTTGCGGTCATATGCGTCTACTTTGTCTGTCGAATGACGTGAATCTCGTAAATTTTACTAACATGTAAAAAAAAAAAGAAGCAAAAATCTGTACTTTAATATATTTAGAAAAAATCATTACCAATCAGGCTTCACAATAATGACCTAACTGAAACATGAAAACACATTTTGAAATGGCAATACTTAAAAAAAAAACATTTTCAGTTTTTGATCAACTTTTTATTAGCGATTTAAATGTTATATGTTTTTATTCCAAGCAAAAACACTAATATGAAATAGCATATTCAAAATAGGGCTCTATCTGAAGTAGTATGCACTTATACTACAGCAGCTTCTGTTGTACTAGTTCAAGTTTCACATCACTATTCCAAATGGGCTATCTGTACTGTGCCCACTGCGGGTATCGAAACTCGCTTCTTGGTGTTATAAGCCTTGAGACTTGCTGCTGAACCAATGGAGGGCCAAATGGATCCTATAGATAAAGTATTGTTTGTGTTTGTAATTAAGCACAAAGCTACACAATGGGCTATCTATGCTCTGCCCACCACGGGTATCGAAACCCGTATTCAAGCGTTGTAAGTCCCCAGACATGCCGCTGTGCCACTGGGGGGGGGCAGATAAAGTAGAAGATGTAGTAAGGTTTCTTGAAACACACAAACACATTCATTCGTAATGCAATCATATTATTCCACAATAAATTATACATCATGTGAACCACACAATATTAATTATTTTTTCAATTGCTAGGAAGCTATTTTTATACAAAAGCCCACAAAGCAATTTTTTTTGTATTAAAAGCTTATGAAAAATAAAGTTAACCGATATTATTATGACGTAAGAGAGTTCACATCCAGTTGAACAAATAGGCTTGGATGCTTAATGAGTATTGTGATCCTTGTTGTTTAATGTTGTGATCCATTATATTAATCGGCAAGCAAAAATTAATAATTTATACGTTTGAAAATTATAAATGCTTTCAAAATTGGAATGTTCGTGACTTTTGGGTGTGAAATAAAAATAACATCGAAGACTCATGATCAAATTGTAAAACCTTTTGTTTAGTTAACAGGGCCAGTGCTTGGCATTTTAAAGTTAAACAGCGAGTTAATCAGTACCAGTAGTGGCATTTTAAACTTACCAAGTTATCAGGATCAGCAGTTGGCTTTTTAACTTAAACAGCGAATTACTAGGACCAGTATTTGGCATTTTAAACTTTAACAGCGAGTTATCAGGATTAGCAGTTGGCTTTTTAACTTAAACAGCGAGTTACTAGGACCAGTATTTGGCATTTCAAACTTAAGTAGTTAGTATTTGGTATTTTTAAACTGATTTTTATGTAATCCATGAGCTAAATGGTCACATCAGAGACTCCTAAGGTTCATGCACAGCCATCCTTAATTAAGAATAGCTGTCCAGAGGGTGGGAGCAATCAGTCAGATGCACCCTCACTTATGCAGCTGCTCTTTATTAAATAACGGAATAAATGTCATAGTCATACAGCTGAAGGTGTAGAGCATGTTCAGTGGTATATCACAGTGTGAACCTTAGATCTTCTGATCTGCAATCCAGCACATTAACCATAAGGCCCTCCAAGCACTCGTTAAAACGTTGGAGGAGAGGATGGCATGTGAATGCCAACTAATTTTCAGAACATCAAAATGCATAACAGAAGAAATATAAAAAAAAAAGTAATTATTTTATTAAGTTAACTTGTAGATCCCTATGGTAAGTGAATAATGGTGTTCATATTCTATATCTTTAGATTAAAATAATTTTAATCAGAACAATACATTAGTTTTTGTATTATCATATTTAAGCAGTCAGAAGTGAATGGTATAAAGTCTTCTTTTTATATCTGTATTCAGACCATGAACTTTTAAAATTATTGTAAAGATTTATGAAAACAAATTCTGTTCTTAAGTTTTATTACAGTCATATACTTTTAACGATAAGTTTCTCATTGAACTGGTTTTGATGACTGTTTCTCCTTTACTACTTTTCTCTTCCATTTCAAAGTTTGTAATTTGACAAATATGTCATTTACTTTAAAAAGTATGAAAAACTTGTAATTTTCAAAAATTTTATTTCACTAATTTTACACTCTCTCTCTCTGGTTTGACAGTACATGTTACTAATTCTGAATAGCAAATTAATAAGTTCCTTCTGATATCATTGTTTTAAGAAATTAATATTACCATTATTTAAAGTTTCTTCTAAAACTCCATAGTTTAAGTTATGCTGAGAACCTACACCATGCAATTTGTTGCATTGAGATACAGAAAATTTATCTATTAGCTTAGCAGTGTAACAATACCTTTTTTTATATATATACTGCAGCATTAATAAAAGTTCTTAGACTATTGTACTCTTTGTTCTAATGCAATGATAATAGCATGTTCATAACTATCTCTCACTTCTATTAGTTTACATCACAAGATATTTTGTGGAAGAGTCTTTGCCCCTTTGTAATTTAACATCTCTGCAAACCACAAATGTGATTGGATTACCAGTGTAGTGCTTATGAATAGCCACCTTCCAATAAAGAAAATGAACAAGACACAACTCCTATTTTCTGAACCAGTTCAAATTCAATGTTTAATACGTACATAAAGTGCATGTGTTGATGACTAAGCAATACTCTGCAGGAGTAGTTACTAACAGCTAGTGAATGTAACAATTAAATATAAACTTCTTTTACAAACAGCAAAAATAAAAAACACATTAAGTTAATTAGTTCTCGGTATCAAGCAAAGAATAGCATCTGTTAGGATTATTACAGGAGATGATTAGGATGTTTTCTGTAAGCAAGTACTTTCTATGATGTATTATGCTTACAAGTAATTTTACCTTTCTAAACATCTCGTATTATGATGCAAAAAATACATATGAACCATATTATTTAAAACAAAAAAAAAGGATTCTGTGACCATAATAATTTGGCAATAAAGGAAAATGTAGAAATTTTTACAGTCTACGTCTAGCAGCCTACAACCAAAAGCATGATAGGTCACCTCAAATTCTTCAATAGACATAAACAATACATAAAATATTCTTAAAAGGAATCCTACACGTGTCTCCAGATTCACTAAAACCATGCTATTGTATTAAATCTTTTTTTTTCAGTTGGGAATTTGAAAAGCATGTTTCAATAATTCATTTTTGCTCTTCTACTTCACAAAATTATCCTGTTCCTTTGTTTGACTGTAAAATAATTTGTGTAATGAAAATTAAAGTAACTGATTATCAGGGATAAGTTTATGAGATTTTCTGGTTTTTATCAAGATCAAGAATATAGGAATATTTAGAAACATGTGAAAAACAGGTGATGGTCATAACATTTCAATGTATAATTTGGTGTCATTTCTCTGGACAATAATTATCATTCACTTGTAAGTGTATGAAACAGATCAATAGGCCACCAAATCCAGTACAGTCAACTCTTTCATGTGATAAAACATTTTGGGACTAAAAAACAAATTGATAAAAATAATGTGATATTATTTGTCTCTTCATTTTTTAACCCTAAAAAAAATTAATTACAAAGTGTTCAAACTTACCTTTCTGATATTCATATATCCTCAAAATAGTTCATTGGTGAATGTATGAAATCAAAGGTAATAGTTGATAAACAATAAAATACAGATCAGCATTTTCAATGAAAGTGCATAGCGTTAAACACATTAACTTGTAAGAACTTTCACAACAATGGATTTAACTCCATAACAATAGCATTATAAAACAAAATATACAAAGTGTTATAAAACTGAAAGTTCAAAAATAAAAGTCTCATGCTGCCATAATGATAAAACATCTGACTTTATTTAACAGACATTACACAAATCAAGATTGATTATTACATTTCTACTTTCAGAAGCACCATTGTTGATCAGTGACAATAATGCTTTGATAATGTTTACCCATAGAACATGTTAAGAATTTCTTTCTAAAATTAACTTCTACGACCTTTGTAGTGTACAAAAATAAAATAAGCATGGAAACCTTGAGTTCATAATTATCGTTGGTCTCTTGAAATGTAATGTTATATAACAAATGTGGCGTTTAAAATAAGGAAAAAAGAAATTAAATATTTTACAGGATTTTGCAGAAAAAAAGAAAAGAAAATGCCTATTTACACAATAGAGAAAATGTTGTATATATGAATAAATTATAACTTTTTGATTAAAAAGTTTAGCTTCAACAGTTTATATCAAGGCAAATAATTTTCATAGGGTTGAGTACAAATCTCCATAAAGGTTACCTCCCTGAGGTGAACCCATAGCTTCAGTCGACAACATCACAATGTTCTTTTATAACCTCTGTGAAGAGCTTACCGAGCTACAAATAATGTGCTTTTTTCTTTCTCTCAGCAGCTTGAACTTATTGATGCAACAGAAAACAGACTACTTTGCTTCATGATATTTTCTAGATTAATAACTCCTCTATAAAAATGACACATGGTGTGGTTATAAGGGTTTACTATGTTTGTGACTAATGAAGGAAATGCAACAAATAGCTTTGATGAATAAAAACCTAAAACAGTGTAGAAGAAGTGATAAAAAAAATCACTGACCATTTAAGTAAGTTCAAGTTTTAGGCCAAGAGCTATTATTTCTACACCAATATCTCTTTTTGTCATTGCACAAGATCAACAAAAATGGTCCCCCTAAAAAAAAAAAAATCAATGAAAAATGTTGGCCAAACCTTTTTGAAACAAAACTAAAACAACCCAATCAATGTTTAATAAGAAAACATAACTGACACTGGCTCTCCTTTCAAGCAAGACACTTTCAAGTGTTCCACTGGTACCTTTAAGAAAGTCATTTTTACACCAATAGGTACCTCTGATAATGGTAATGTCTATAGATGGTAGATTTATTTATTTTACCAATCTTAATAAGATTCTTTTTATTAGAAAAGAAGAAGAAATCAAACAAAGATAAGACTGTGCTGTGTTAATGTCTAAGGTAACATTTTCTTAATAAATAAAATAGGTAATGATTAAAAAATAATAATAATACACAATACTGCAAATAACTACTCCTATGAGGACTTCGCCTTAATACAAACTTAAACAATTTCCCCTCGTGTTTAATAACAATTCATTTGCTCAAGCACATAGGCAACGGCTACCACTTGTTTGAGGTCAACCATGGAAACATACTTCAGCAAGGTTAATACAGCCTGTAGTCCTGTCATCTTGAGGACACAGTGATGTACTATACATTAAGTTGCTTGGGAAAACTAGGAATGTGTGTCATTGCAGGTGCCCATAAGAGTATACACACTCACATGTACAAGCTTGCATTCACATGACGGGTAAACATTGGACCCTTGGATACAATAAATTTTAATATAATCACTTAAATAAACTAAACTTCACTGACTTTCATGATATCTACTGGTATTATTATACCTGTAGGGTTGCTTCATGAAATTACAGCCACACATCATTACCAAAAAATTAACATTTTAGAATTAATATTTTGTAAAACTGTAATAGCAAGTGCACCCTTTATTATACAGTTTTTTTAACGCATAACAAACTGTGGTTAGTCAAACAAACAAAGACTTTCATTGAACAACTGCAGTAACTTTAATTAAAAAACAAAACTGAAACATTTTCTAATGAGGCAGCAAACACAGTTTACATAAAGCGCAATTCTTCTGTGATGTTTTTACTTACAAGAAAACACACACAGTTTTGGATTCTATACTGATACAGATCAAAGCCAATAAAACAATTTAAAAATATTTAAATATCTTTAACACAAAATAAGAAATAACTAAAGTAACAATAAGCTCTACATCAGATGAGAAGAGATAGCCAGTGATATTCTAATACCACAAAGTAAAATCTTCATATTCCACTGTACTGAATGACAATTGAATACTTAGCCTCCTTATTAGAAGTGAAGACTAATGAGATACTGGACTGAATACTAATTAAAACAAAATAGTTATTGAAAGATAAAAGGATAAAGGACGATCAACAAGAAATCAGTTTCACACCACAATAACAGAAATAGTCAGAAACAGATAAGATTAAACTTCACACTACCAATGACAAGTGAACTTCCACACCAGAAGATAAGGCTGAATAATCAAAGATCTTTTCTTGAAATTCTAAGGAAAGCTGTGGCTCAAGACAGATCAAACTCCATATTAAAAGTAGATATGATCAATGGGAAAGCGTACACCAAAATCAAAAGTAACATTACCAATTCCATATCACAAAAGCATGAATTTAAAATACAAAATTATGCTCAAAATCAAAAGAATAGGAAAGGCCAGTGTTAGATCTAGTTTTTCATTACAAAGTCCAGCAATGTTTTCTGTAAAGGTAATTAACCAATAATGTTCACGAGCACCTGTGATTAGAAACAACATTTTCAGATAAAGATGTTTCAGTAAAATCAAACATAAACCAAATGGTTTTTGTAAAGTCATTTACATCTATAAAAGTAACTGTTTAAAAGAAAAAAAAAGATCCATATGTACATTACAAAGCCAGCAATAGGTGGCTAGGATTTTAGTGCTGTTGCTGTAAGATTAAAGAAACAACAAAAAATGTATCAGGTAACAGTAAAATCTCTAGCTTATATTGAAAAATAGTCTTTAGTAAAATAAAGAAAATAAAATTCTAAGAGGAACAGGTTAGCTAACTTAACAGCTTTCATTTTACAATACAATATTCTACACTGTTCACACATCTAAAGCTTATATTTCATCACTAAACTGTTTTATTTCTTGTAGAAACTGACAAAAATTCACATACATATACAACAACACACACACACACACACACAATATATATATATATATATAGATTGTGCTTAATGAACAACTGTATTAAATGTTTTCTTTCTTCTACTAAAAACAAACCTTTTTGATCTACATTATGGACAGCTATATATCTTACTAAATAACTTGTTCCTCTAATTACAATAGGAAGCCAAGTGGTGTATATGTACAGATATTCCTCTCTTAAGACAATGATTTGTTCTAAAAGTTTAGCTGAGCAGTAAATTTAATAGTTTGTTATTACACAGCCTTACACAACAATACACATACACACATGGACTGATATGCTTCTTTTTTTTTGCAACAGCAACTACCACAAGTAACTGACATTTTATAAATTTTAGAAAAAGGAATAAATGTATACATCACTACTCATGTAGGACTTTGAGGTGCTTCCTTTAGATATTCCAAACCTTTTGTACAACCTTCAGTTTAGTCTTTGGTGGACTAACTTTCTTATGCTTGTATCAGTAATCTGGTAAATTTTATAATTTCTTATTAATTGATATCTAAACACACACTTCTTTCAAAAGCCTTCCTTTCATGCACTGGTTACACTCATGGAAGCCCCTTCTTCTATGGATCACTATGATAATAAGTTCATCCTATGATGACTTGAAACTGTTACTTTCTTTCATTCTTGTTTTTGTTCTAGGAATCATAGCTGGAGGAGCCATGTTCTCCATCATCATAATGAGTTCTAGAATCATCTGGACTTGGAGGGAAGCTCAAATTGGAGCTATTGTTGGAGACAATGGAATGTCGAGGACTGGACTCCTCTCCATGTCCCTGAAAACACAGAAAACCACAGGTGTGATAATATTAAATGTTAGAAAGCCATAATGCTGTTTTTGAAAAAAAAATTATGAAAGAAAACAGATTAAAAGAAAGTTATTTCAATCAGTAATTTAAGAATAACACACATAAATGAAAAAAGCAAATCAAATACTAGTGCTGTCCAGATTTTTAATAAAGAATTTGAACATATCTTTTTTTGTAAGGTCTTCAGAGTCACTTGTTAGGCTGCTAACGTTAGTTGCTTTGGTGTAAACAATGTTGATAATTAAGCTTTCTTATACACCTCTTCTCCCGAGTTTTCATAGTCTGATCCAGTTGTCAGGCTGTTACCATTAATAGATGCTTTGGTATAAATAATGTTAATAATAAAACTTTCTTATATACCTCTTGTCCTGAGATTCCATGACCTGATCCAGTTGTTAGGCTGCTAACATTAGTTGCAGAGTGCTCCTGAGAAGAATGAGAACTGTCTGGAGAACCTGCAGTCAATGATGAAAATGGTCGCTGTGGGGTTGGAGGAGCAGGTCGTCTTCCTATGGGGCCACCTGCAAATAGTTTTTGTTACTGACACTATTCACAGAATGACTCAAACATTTTAATTGGAGATGCTCATAACACAATTCAGTTATCAGAGAGAGGCAGAACAAATACATAACAACACTCTTGAATTAAGAACACAACATATTATTAATATAATCTTATTATAGGAATAGGACAGAAAATCAAAGTGTTATCACAAACATCAATTAAAGTTGTGTAATAATATAAATATACAACCAGTAAGGTAGTGGAACAGGGACCTGGGGTATCCTCAAGAACAGCAACTAATAATAGTACTTAACAGTATACTACAACAGGATACAGAATATTGATATTAAATTATATTTTTAAATTAAATACCAATAATATTTTTATCATACCATTATGGGAGTGAGATAGAGAACTAAAAGGCCTCTCAGATGAAGCATTAGATCCTGGTTGTCCTTTCTGTATTGAAACTTTTCCTTGCTGCAACAAGCTCCTCACTCTGTGCATCTTCTCTTCTTGAGCCTGATGCAGAAAGTTCCACAAGATTTGGCTTGTTAATTGTACTTTACCAAGTAGGAACCAGCTCTGAACTACTTTTATTAACTGGTTAACCAACTTACATTTATTGTGAATAACTCAAGCATTAACCCACAGTTTGGTTATAATTTGCATGCTCAGTAAGCCCTATCTTTCTTGTTCCTTTCTTACCACAGAACATGTGTAATGTATATATACTTTCATTAGACCACCTTACGACATACAGGAAGAACTTAGTGATATATTTATTTATCCTTAAATGCCTATAAATAACTTATAGCTGAATAACTTATTATTAAAAATCAAGTTGAAATACATTAACCAAGGACCTAATATTTCATAACTCTAGGTTGAATACATTGTCTATTTTAATGAAATTTCTTCAAAAGTGAAATTTAACAGAAAAACAATATTATTTCTTTTTTACATGGAAACATTAATTAACTATTTAAAGTGGTAAATTCTAAGCTTTTCTACAAGAATTAAATGAGGGAATATGATAATCCAAATTTATTTAATAAAAAGTTTAAAAAATGAAATCAAAAAATAGTTTCCAATTTGAGATTTTGAATATAAAATAAAGAAGATGCAACTAGCCACAGAAAAGAAAACATATTAGAGAACATTCACACTTACAGTTGGTAAATCTTTCAAGTTGTAGAACTCTCCGGGCCCCATGTGAGTAATATGGTTGAAGTTTGTTGGACCCGAAATCATTCTGGACTTTCTGTCAGTACTATAATTATACAACCAAATGAGAACCTAGCACACAAGATGTTAAAACATCAATGTAATGCTGAGCTATTATTTCATCAACCTTGCTACAAGAAAAAATTTACAACTGAACTGAACACTAACACAATGAAAAGTGTAGACAGATCAACAAAGTTCTGAACTAAACATATCTCTATGTAACCAATACATATTGCACAAAATAGTTAAAGAATAGTTTGAAGTTATAATGTTTTAATTATAACAGCAAACCCACTGTTGTTAAATGATGCCAACCACCTCACTTAGTTCATTTTTACCTAAATCATGCATCTAATAATTAGTGACTGATTTGAAGTGCAATTGACTGGTGATTCAGCTTATAGTCATAAATAAATATCTGGTAGAGTTGGTGTTACTTCTTTACATTTCCCACAAATATCGAATAGGGTTACTACAACTAATCTGGTACTGATGTTAGATATATAAAGTCAAGGTGTTGACAAGAGCTGCTTCCAGGGCATCTCTCGTGATTATAATCACTTGAAAGGATACAATTAATTTCTCACTGAATTGAATTGATTGAGTCTTAGAGCAGGTATCTTACTTTGTAATGGCTATATATAACAATCATTTGCTCATGTTATAGTTAATAGTCTAACTTATATTAGTGCTCAAACAGTCAAACATTGTAAGCACATTAAGGCCTATTAATCATTTTTATGTGAAAAATGAGACAAAACTGTGTGATTGTTTGTTTGTGTTTGAATTTCACGCAAAGCTACATAAGAGTTATCTGTACTAGCCGTCCCTAATTTAGCAGTGTAAGACTAGAAGGAAGGCAGCTAGTCATCACCACCCACCGTCAACTCTTGGGCTACTCTTTTACCAATTAATAGTGGGATTGACCACACATTATAACACCCCCCACGGCTGAAGGGTCGAGTATGTTTGGTGGGACAGGGATTCGAATCCACAACCCTCAGATTGTGAGTCTAGCACCCTAACCACCTGGCCATGCCAGGCACACAAAACTGTGTGAAACCACCAATTGTAAAATATGCAAAAAGACCAAATATTTAACTGTTTTGTGCAGTGTAGTACAAAAACATCACCTTTGTATAAACACCAATAAAGTATTAAACACATCAACTACATTAAAAAACCAATAGACTATTATTTTGAACACATTAAATATTGTATTAAAATTTTAAAAATAATATTACAGGTGAATCATCCTAGTTGAAACTAAGCTTTTAACAAATATTTTATTATCATAAGTAAGTTGTAACATGATGTGTGATACTGTATGTGTTTTCAAGTTTTCACAGTAAGTGTTGATGTGGACCCCACACATTACTAACTATGGCATCAATATGCAAGTTTGTAAATGGCCAGAGAATGCTTATCCTTTGCTTTTGGTACATTGTCTTTAAATTTTAAAGAAGTATTTGATTCTAGTAATCAGTTTAAAAACACATCTTAGTTGTACTTGTGAATAAATGAGTCCGAATACACAGAAACACAAGCTAATCAACGTTTTTAAAACATCAAATTGTGGAATGAGAGGGGTATTAGCTTTAAGTTCATCTCCCAATACATTTGTCAATTAAGTAAAATTAAGAAAGTTGCTTCTATATGGAGATAGATTGTTTTTACTTCTTTATGAAATAGTTCATGACTACTAATAATTTGATATACCTTATTAACTAGATTTTTAAATAAATTCTATGAATACTTTTGCATCTGCTATAGTACATATACTACCCCATAATTATAGGTTTACAATAATCTCCAATATTAAAACTTCTATCATTATAAGCAATTGCATCCAAAAAATAAATAAATGTAACTTTAATTGAAATTCTCGTTCAACTGTCAAGTTATTATTAAAATGCATTTAATTACAACTACAGAATAAGCATTTTTTTATATTATAATTATATGTCTTTTATTCACTGGCAGACTGGAAATGAACTACTGTTCTTCCAGTAGGTTTATAAGCCTACACTGAAATACTGAAGATATTTTCTGTAAATAACGGGTTTGATGGTTTCTCTTACCTTATGTAATGACTGTTCATTTGTCTTATAACTCTGAGAAACATATTTTAATATGCTGGATTATGAAAATTGTTTAAATTCAATACATTACAATTCTCTTAGTTCTTTTCTACTCATTGAAAGACTTAAAAATGAGCCACTGGCATGTAGGCCCTTCTACTATTAAATTTATATAATGAAACTGAGATTTTGGAATGGCAGTTTCCACATGCATACGTGTTTTAAAATATTTAATATTTAAGTAGTAATAAAAACTTAGTCAGTTAGTTAAACCAAAACAAGTTAATTGCATTTTTAAGTCTTAAAAAACAGAAAAAAAGTGTGAGAGAAAGGATCACAGTAGCTTAACTCTCTTATTATATTTTGGGTCTATTTGATCCGACTCTGGTTTCCACAACACTATGATAGAATTAAACATATCTTTGAGTTTATTATAATGAGAATTCAAACTAATATTTAATATTAAAGAATAGAAGTTATCTAAAGACAAAATATTTTACAATTTAAAAGATGTTTATATTTGCTTGAAACTGTATTGGGTCAATTTGACCTAATACATAACAGATGTACTTAAACTCTGGATACAGCTAGACAGGTTCCATAATAAAGAAACTACACTCATAAAATATGTATTACATCTACACAGTAGAAAGTTTAGCAGTCACATTACCTGTGCTACAAGGCAATGAAACATTTTATAAAACTTACTGGTACTTGGACAATGGTTTGTCAGTGTTAGGTAGGTGAGCTTTCAACCAAGTGACTGCCTATGAAATGCCAAATTTTTCTGATGGTGCAATGAAATGGTCAGACAAAGCAACCTTGTAATTCTTGGCCACACCCATCTAACCATCAGTGTTGACAAGTTGGCAGTGTTAGGTAGGTGAGCTTTCAACCAAGTGACTGCCTATGAAATGCCAAAGTTTTCTGATAGCTCAATGAAATGGTCAGATAAAGCAACCTTGTAATTCTTGGCCACACCTTAACATCTAACCATCAGTGTTGACAAGTTGGCAGTGTTAGGTAGGTGAGCTTTCAACCAAGTGACTGCCTATGAAATACCAAATTTTTCTGATGGTTCAATGAAATGGTCAGATAAAGCAACCTTGTAATTCTTGGCCACACCTTAACATCTAACCATCAGTGTTGACAAGTTGGCAGTGTTATTACTAGTGCAAGCTTCATTTGGCAGTACAGTGCTATAAGTGCAAACTTTCAAGTTTGTTGCCGTATTGCTGGTCACAGTTTCATTCTAAGTTATATCACTGGTAAAAACTTCTCAGTCCTGGACTGATTACAACATTTCCACCTTGCTGTACAGTGCTATCTTGACAATCAGTCAAAAATGTCTGCTGCTTGTGCTCGGCAAACAATGGTGTCATACAGCTTCTATTTCAGAAACCGAAAGAAGTTAGGGCTTTTTGCTTTTAATTGCATAAGTATCTGCTCAGCTGAAAGTCAGTGGGGATTAAGAGTAATGTAACAATCAAAAAATGCTTTCTTCTAATATAAAGGACCAATATTTCACACCATATCTTGTACCCCTATTCAATCCAAGTGCAACCTTGCTTATATCATTATAGTTCAAAATGTTAATTATGCTATCCAAATAAACCTCCATACTGGATGTGTCACCTAGAGAGCTGGTAGAATATATTTGCATGTTAATGACTTGGGAGTTTCCATATTGTTCATATTTTCATGTACATGCCTTGTATCCATTCCTTAAGCCCCTAATACATTTTACTTCTGACCAAAATATATACACCTATTACAAAACCAATGACCTAAATTTTTTAAATGTATTTGTACAAACAATGTTAACTGGGACTTAATTTGATATTGGTACAACAGATTTTCAATCTAAAAGTTGATTTACAGTCAGGAAGAACATTTTACAAAATTCTAATTCTTGATTGAAAAATACTATGAAAAATGCAGTTATTCATATTTTCAAAGTCAGACAAACATAGGTACCTTCAGTTAATTACTTAATTAATTGGACATATTTATCTACAAAAGTACACTTAAGATTTACTTATAAATCAGTCATTAGAATCAAACATTTGTTTAAGATAAGTATACTGTACCCAAAGGTAAAAATTCGTTAGTTATTTACAAATTCATGTCTTTATAGTAACATGAAATACATACGATCCACTACGAGGTTTCTTTCCACACGTATAAAAGAAAAATTTGAGAATACATTCACCATTATACAACAAGTTTGATACAACAGTCTGTAACACTTATTTCCACCCTAACCATGTTAAGATTGTTAGTAAAACCTCCCAAGGACAACAACTCAGGCTAATAGAAAGTTAGTATCTCATTTAAGGCCTAATATGAACCAAAAAGTTTCAGCTGCTACACTATTTTTAGAATTCTAATTTAAAAGTTTGGATTTCTTGTAGTATTTTGACCAGTTCTTGCACATCAAGTATGTTGACATAACATAATAGAGCACGCTTTTTTGATCATGATATCCAAGTAATGTGTACATGGTTTAGAGGTTTTTAGGAATATTAATGAATACATATAATGCATAATTTTGTATGTTATATTACCTGTGACATAGTTTTGTATATTCCTATAATTTTCAAATCTTTCATTTTTTTTTTCAAACATTTTACATTTAAAAAATTTAATATATGCAGGTGTTACAAATACGATTCAGTAAAATAAGTTTTGCATACATGCGTCCTCCTTTTCCTGCTTCTCTCACTGAGAATCTCCGTCTGGTGCGTGCAATGACAGCTTTCCCAGATCTACCACGTACATTCTGAACCATCACTTCGGGTACCCGTACAAGGTTGTCTCTGTGTTGAACATTATGCAGATAGATGAGATGAGGGAGGTCTGTTGCCCATGTAATGGATAGCTCACCAGTTCTACTGAGAGGCTTAGTCTGTGAGAAAGACAAAATTACTTTCGAAATACAGAATACAAAAACAACAGTATGGTAGTCAATTCAGTTAAACTGAAACAAGAGCAATAAATTATAATTTCAAAATTGGTCAGTTTTTGAAAAAATATTTACAATATTCTGTACACAGAAAAGTTCAAAGAATACAGCATTAACAAGCTGGCTATACTATTAATAAATAGCAAAATATATATAAAGCAGATACAAAATGATAGAAAAACTGAAAACCTACACAGATAAATTCTGTTTCAGTAACCATATTAAAGGTTTTTCAAATTATAAATTATAATAAACAACCAAAACTCAGAAGATAGTTTTTTTTCTTACCTCCATGAAACGAGCCTAAAAACATTCTTGCTTTGACAGCTTTGGTGCATTTTAGTTTAGTAATGTTTACAGTACAGATTTTCATCTACTTCAGAGATCTCTACAAACTAGTGCATCTTTCAAATGTGCTATATAAGTTTGATATTTACAAGAAAATGGACCCGACTACCTTTACTTTACATTTCAATATAACCAAACGTAAATATCTATCTTATCAATACAGATAGATGTCAGAATGAAGCTGGTGACATTATGTCTCCATTTAGAATATAAAGATTATAAAGCACAACTTTTATTGGTTACATTCTAATGAAGAAATCATTATTACTTTTCTAATATTGATTGTCTGAACCCATTCACTGGAAGAAACTTCAAACACATCAATGTGAGTGTCACTATAGACAGTTAAAAACGAGTCTCTGTAACCTAGTAAAAAAGAAAAAAATATATACATGTAAGTTTATATTATAGACAACACATACTAAAACTGGTAAAGATAAAACAAAGTAGGTTTTTAATACAGATCTCAGAAAAAAGTTTATAACCTAGTTTACATAAACATAATTTCTCAAAAGCCTAAAGCACTGACCACAGTACTGAATTCACAGTGAAACTAAACATGACTTTTATCTTCAGAAATGATTTACTTTAATTGAGATTTCAACTACTTTTTTTTGAGGGGGGTGAGGGTGTTTGTTTCAGAAGTCATCCCTAATTTTGAACTAAAAGGAAGGTAGCTAGTCAACAGCACCCACTGTCAACTTTTGTCTGATAGAATAGTGGGATTTGTATGAAGTGAGGAAATGCATTTCTGTGACATTGGGCCATGAACCCTCATGTTCACAGTATAAGACATTAACCACTAGGCTGTGTCTGATCCCCCTTCTTTTTTTTGAGCATGCACCATACACAGTCAGAAATACACATAAAATTTAAAAGTTATATTCATGATGTCAGAAAAACATGTAGGTTCAAGAAGTCTTGATACAAAATGATAAAAACCCTATAGGTTATAGGGTTTTTAATCATTTACAATTTATATGTATTGATAGGATAATGAATTAAATGCTCCTAGGCAGATAATATACAAGTGCCTCTTTCCTTTCCTTGGCAGTAGTTAAACAATTCCAAACTGCACAAACTTTTTTTTTTTTTTAGAAACAGAAATTAAGTATTTTTGATTGCAAATATTGCAAGGCCTTACAACAATCAAATGCATCTGACATGAAATGATAATACTAAGGAAGACTTTTTATTAAGATATAATAATATTTCATAATTCTATAAATAATAAAATGTTGAAAAAATTAATTTTTGATTTCTCACAGGTCACCTTGCTTGCAGTTTACTTAGTCTATTGGATAATCTGTTTTGACTTTAAGTGTGCACGTAACTGATTGTGTGTGCCACATAATTATGAAGAATACTAGTAGCTGGAACACTAATCAAAACAAATAACAAATAAACACTTTATATTTTTCCTTTAAAACAAAATATTTCAATTTTATAAAGTAAATTTTAAATAATAAATCTTTATTCTAGTAAAAACAAAGCATTATATTATTATACAGATGAGTTATTGCATTCTGTATGAACAACTTACATATGCTGAAGTAGTGTTGTTGTGTTGCCACATGTATGAGCCCTGTCAATGTGGGTGACATGTTTAGTACCTCTCAAATACATTAAAGATAAAGCAGGATCAGTTCATAACATCGACTTACTAGAGTGAGTCTTTGTAAGCTTATAGCGCACACACACTCAATAATTTAACATGCACAATCAAAGATGCAATATAGGTTTCTACTCAGTAATGTCATATAATGTAGTGATCAAAATGTTATCTGATATTTTAAGTATTAAGATTTGGTTTATAATAAAGTATGAATATAAATAATGATTTAAAAGAAAATATTAGTAACTTAAACAACTTATCATTATCTAACATGTCTTATGACAGACATAATATATATACATATTAAACTACATTTTTAACTTACTGACTGCTACTGGGATGGCTGGAAACATTAATTCTCTTTCTCTAGACTTTTTGCCTTCATGATCAACATAAACCCCAAAATCTGTCAAAAATTATTATTTATTAGCTGCTAAAGGATATATTATACACGATTTAATAACAAAAAATATATGTATATTTAAAAATTAGTCTTACAACTTAAATATTCTCTAGAAGTTGGCAGATTACTTACAAAATTTTTTTAAAA